TGTAAAGTAAGTTAGCGGATATATGTCTGAATCAAACTAATGATACAACAAAGGCAAACTGATATCTGTAATGAAACATTCATTCAACTGTAAATAGAGATAAGAGAATGAGTTTTTGAAACAATACTGAACTTGCAGATGCTTTGCGAAAAATAAGTTATTAATTGTCAATTAGTTACTACCTTATCTAAAGTATTTTTATCATCATCCTTGTTTATTTAATAAGCAATGCAGAACAAAGATTGTCCACAATGATCTTATTATAAAATTAAGTGAAATAGTTTTACCAATCGGCATTCATAGATAATTATATTTTTTTATCTTCGTATGCCATTCTAAAGAACTCAAAACAATTGAAGTAGTCCAGTTTAACTGAGATATCTATGGATCTGGTAAACAGAGACAAATAAGCGACAATTAAAGATTAAAGCATTCATTACGCACTAATAAGCATTCATTTAATAAAAAATGATACCTTGAGGTTTTGAGCTTGCAATTATTGTTAGAAATATACAATTATATGTAAAAATTATCTTTCTGGTGTTTCTTACCTAATACTTAAATATTATCATTATTTTCAAGTTTATAAATATGTGTTTTTCATTCATATTTCATCTTTTTCATCGAGATATTAACCTGGAAATAATATTTTAAAAACAATTTAATGGATAAAGGCCTCTCGGGTTAGATGGAAAAAAAATTATTTCAATAAATGTACATCACATGATAGTCAATCAAGAGTTGATGATATCTTGATAATTAGTGGAATAGATTTTTATTGTAATACTGGTCTTTGATTCTTTGGGAAAATATGTTTTAAATAATATTTTAATCCGTTAATTTATTTTAACAAATAAAAAAAACAACTTTGTGTAAAACAAACTTAAAACAAATTGGTAATTTTATCCTCATTGTTTTATTATTTCATATCCTTTTATTAGATTTTCATCATTAATAACATTTTTTCAGAAACAATAATTTAAAACTTTAATGGATCGTTCCATAAATAATAAACAGCATTTTTCGTAGCAATATTAGTTTTTCAGATTCCTCACTGCAAATTCACTTTCTGTTCCTTTTCATTTCAATATTTAATTCATTAAATATTACCATTTAAAAATTATGGTGTAATTTCTTTCATAATAAATCAGAAATGACGTTTTCACCATTAAAGTTGATCGTTTTCATCATTTCATCAAATAATAATATAAAAATCCTTTAATATGGTCTAAATAAGCAAATGTATTTTATTTAACTGAATAATAATAATAAAAAAAAAAAAAAAAAAAAAAAAGGATTAAATTATTGCAAAAAATTACCATCAAATTAATATTTTATCTAATGTATAAATGTGTGCAAAATACAACAACATATGTCTTACAAAAAATTTCTTTAGTGTTTATTCAGAATTCATGAAAAAATTACCTAAAATTGCCCCCCTCCCCATTTAAAAAAAAAAATATATATATATATATAAATCAATAAATAACCTGTACAAAATCTATCATTAAATGAATGTGATAAAATAAACATAAAAACAATAAGTAAATTGTTCTATTTATAATAAACTTGATTTTAATTATTCTTTTGTAATTTTAATAACTATATAAACTAATTTAAAATTTAGGAACGGTTTCTTAAAAATACTATAATTAAAAAAAATTACTATTGATAAAATTTTCATTAAAATAAATAAAAGCAAAATCAACAAATAACATACAAGGTCTTCAAAAAAATGCTTAATTAATAAAAAAAAAGCTTCTTAAGTTCACTACAGATGGCAGCAGTGGTACTAAAACAAAAGAAGCGACACTAAGAAAAACATTGGTGTTTTTTTTGTTTTTTATTTATCAAAGTAAGAAATTAAAAATTAAATAAATTTTAAATGAAAGAGCGTTTTAAAATGACCATAGATTCAACAAAAACACTAAAAAACTTAATTAACAATACCAATAAAAAATAATTAATTTCTTGCTTAACATAATAATGTACAGCTTAATCTAGATATACATTTATAAAACATCATTTTTTTGCTCAGAAATGGCTTTAAATAATGGGTTCATTATAAATTATATATGTAATTATTATTATTATGTATTGTTTTCCTAATTAAAACAATTACTTTAATTAATACAGATATATTTTGCATTTGTAAAACCAATCCAAAGAAAAGTATAAATATCAAGATACTCTCCTACAAAAAGATATGTCACCCAATATATTGGGCTTAAAAAAAAAACAGTGATTCAACAAATACACCTAAAATCAATTCGCATCGGTTTTATTATAAGGTTTGTTCACTTGAGTCCATAACACTCTTTGCGGAAACATTTGATCACTATGGTAACGCACATCTATTCTCTACTTCAAAAGTGCAGCGCCATCTATCGGAAATAAGTAACATTGTTCTTTGTAATATATATATATGTAATGCGTCTAGTTGGTTGATTTATTATATCAATATAAGTTTTTATTGTAGAAAACAGATAAATAAATTCCTTAAAAAATTCATACAAAAATTTAATGATTTTTAGAGTGAATGCCTTTAAAATATTAATTTACTGAAATCGGATAATTTTAAATTAACATTTGATTTTTTTTATTTCAATAGAAAAATTTCGAAATATTAAAATTTTTTAATGAGATATAATCTTGCAAATTCTCTAACTTTATAACCTTCAGATTTTTAACAAATTAAATTTTAACTAAAAATTATTTTGTTATATATATATTTTTTTTTTTTAATTTATGGCGATTCATTCACTTAGTTGTAAGCGCAATTAGAACATAAAAAAATAATAACAATTGTTTGATGAATTATTTTTTGTAACAATATCAAATAAAAATCAAAAATTTTTAAAAAATTTTAACCAATTGATTCTACTTTTCCTTCGTCTTCAAGCAAAAGTAAAATGAATTGGTTAAAAACCAATTTTATTAAATTAGGATAGAGAAAATGATCTACTTGAATTCAAGAAAAATATATGCATTTTGAAATAATTTTTACAATTTTAATAATACTTTAACTGAGTTTTATTTATTTATAGAACAGAGTTTTTATTTATTTATCGAAATGTGTTTTCAATTAATTGTAGAAATGAATTTTCATTTACTTATGAATAAAAACAAAAGAAAGTTACAATATTTCAGAAAAATTAGCTGTAAAGCAATATTTTTTCAGTTAAATGAGCGCTAATTTATTTATATAATCCTACAGAAATGAAATGCATTTTTTTATGTTATGTATTAAGAAACAGCCTGTAAGAATGAAATAATTTAATTTGAAGTCTTAATTTGTAAACAAATGATCTTATATATCATATGTACATTTTTATATTAATTCTTTATAAAATGAAAATATTACGTTCTAAACATAACTGGCAAATGCATTCCTTTAAAACTGAGCTGTGCAATTGATCTGAACTTATAAGGGTCATATGTTTTTATACATATTCATTATTATAATCATATTACATGAGCCATATTTCTACACATGTCTTTTCTAAACACGTATTTCAAAGCCGACACAGGAATATGAAATAGCGTAAATGTTTCTAAAGAATTTCACCATCGGCTATGAAAATAAGCTGTAGGAGTCCTGAAGGATCAATGACCTTCTTCCTCTGTGCGGGAAGAAGGGGGGTGAAAACGATGACGTCAAGGAATCGCGCGTGCCTTACTACTTCTATCATCAAAGCCAATCCTTTGTAAATTTAAGGGGGAAAAAAACAACAAAATCCAAACAGGAAAATAATAATTCTTGTAATTGTTTCATTAAAATGCATTACATAAGTGTTGAAATTTTAATATTATTTTTAAAAAAACAAAGAAAAACGATAATTTGTACTTTGTATGAAGTACAAATATTAACTTTTTCCTTTCGAAGTATTTATTTATTAAAAAAAAATAAATTAGCATAGCATAGCGTAGCGTAATATAGAACTTATAGAAAAATAGAAATTTTTCAAAAGGATACAATAATTTCTTTATCAGTTATGGGAAAGTATTTAATTTATAATTAATGATTTTTAATTTTAAATTATTTTTTTTTAAATTTAACTTTATCTATCAAAACATCAATTTGGCAATATTTATATCTCTCCCTCCTTCAGATCAAGTCGTACGGCTTTTTCATTTGCAATAAATTTTATTTTTACTTTATACAAATTTCTTCTCTTGTTAGTTGATGAAAGTCAAACGAAATAAACGCAGTTCATTTATATTTGAAAAAAGTTAAATTGACATAAAGTTAAATTTTACATTAATTGTAAAATTATTATTAATTCATATTAAATCATCAAATGCAATATTATATAATTCTTGAAGGCTTTGATTTCTTCTTAAAATGAGAATATCGATTGAAAAGAATGATATAAATTGTTATTTCCTATGTCGATACTATTGGATATAATTATTGCAGTCGATAAAATATAAGCTATTGTGTCATTGCATAAAAAAATATTCTTTACATAGAGGGGAGAAGTGTTTCTTTCCTAATCTTAAGAAAAAGAAAAAGAAATGCTTTCAACAAATTTGTCCATTAAAATTTTCTGCAAATAAAATGAAGCACACTATAACTATTGAATTTAAATTAAAGCTATAAACTAATTTTATTATTAAAAGAAAAATAGATAATAGGCTCATAGAAATACGACTGTTTACACACACACATATATACATATATATATATATATATATATATATTTGTTTGATATATAGTGCATATGTTTTGTGTTTTCTTGGCTGGTCAAGCCCACGATATATGGACTCATGATTGAAGGGGAAGGGGAAGCAGCTTCTGTTGTGATGGAGCACCCGTAGGTAGAAGCCTGACTTTTGCTCCGTGACGCTCTTACAGTCATAGGAGACCGGGACCTACGGCTTAAAGTGGATTCCGAACCACTACAAACATCCATGGCACCGCCGGGATTCGAACCCGAAACCTGTGGCACCGAGCGCCAGAGCGCTAGACACTCGGCCATTCAGGTCCCAAATTTGCCAACGGCACGCAGTGTTCCCAGGTGGTCACCCACCCAAGTACTGACCGCGCCCAATGATGCTTGACTTCGGTGATCTAACGAGTACCGGTATATTCAGCATGGTACGGCCGTTGGCTACTGATATATTCTAAACATAAAGAACATATCTTCGATTTTAATGAATAATATCTTTACTTGTAACTTTAAAAAAAAAAAAAAAAGTAATTGAATAGGCCGATATACAAATTACACATAAAGTTTAGAATTTATTGTAAGAACAAAATGCATAACAGCAATCTTAAAAATTAAATTTTAAAAAATTATAAAATTCCAAACGATTTTATTTTTTTCTTGAAAAATCATGTTTTCACTTTGAAATAAAATTGTTTTTGCTCTCACCTGATGATTTTAAATTAATTTTACATTACTTAATCAGATAATTATTAGCTCGTAAAAAATTGTTAATAAATAGCCAATAAGAAATATTAAAAATATATCAAAGATAAAAGAATTGATCAAGGAAATGAAAAATTCCTCTTTCGAAAATAATACCGATTTTCACTTTTTTTTAAGTGTTTATTTTAGGTAGTGAATAAACTATCATTAGATCATATTAAATTGTAGTGAAATATAACGTCATTTAATCATACGTAATTTTGTATAATCCCCATTCTCGGATCCAAATAATAATTTAAAGTATGAATATTTAAAAAGGGATACAGAAAATCATACATAGAATTTAATAAAGCTGACAACTTCCCCAGTTTGTAGTACGAAAGCTAATCATTACAAATGATTTTATAAATCAAGTTTGAAAACAAAATATTATAAAATAACTAGTTTCAATAAGCGGTAAATTTTTAGTAGTTAAGAAAGAAAAATATATTTTTGACTAGTAACAGAAAATAAACAAGGAATATTTTTAAAATTTTAAATAGCATAAGCTAAAAAAATTATGAAATGTGAAGTTTTAAAGAGATGGAAAAAGTAAAAATAAATTTAAAACATTAAGTTTATTTTAAAAAATAATTAGCAATTAAGTTTTATAAATTCTTTTCTAATTTTAATTATACAAAGATAGAAAATTTTGAATATAAAATTTCAAAATTGTAAATGTTGACATAAAAGGAAATATTTGTAAAAAAAACATAACTGAAATTATTTTTTAAATAATTTGAAAATCTCGATATGATTAATATATGAATACGGAAACAAAGGCATATAATCGGAAAAAAATCAAAAATTGTGAAATTTGAGTAAATTTACTCTAAAATTGATAAATAAACATTCATTACATAATTGATAAGCAATTAGAGTAAACACTTTATTGAACTTGTGCTGCCATCTGTTAGAAAACATTATATGTTTATTGTTTCAAAATATTGATTGACTGATTTTCTCTTTTCCAGATTCAAATGAATGCCTATGTGATCTTTTGAAAAATTAAAGTACAAGGAATTCACACGTCAATTGCCATCGTTTAATCAGCATCATTATGTTATTAAGTTAATTAAAATTCAAGGTAATTGTTCTTGTTTTTATGTTACTAAATAATATAATTGCCGAAATTTGTATTCTTTAATTCAGAAATTTTTGTTCAAATACAAAGTCTGCATCAAAGGACATTTGATTAAGTTTCTTGTATTTTTATTGTGACATTCTAAAAATGGGAAAAATTAGCAAACAAACAAACAAAAAAGACTATGTATTATAATTTATAATCAAGACACAGGGTTTATATTTAAAGATTTAAAATCAAATTTTTGAAGAATTGTGTTTTTGTTCTTCTTGTAAATTAATAAACTACAAAATATTAGTTTATTTTAAATTATCAATAATTAATAATTAATAAAAGGGTATTTCATTTTTCATTATGTTAAGATTCCTATAACTATATTAAATAATTTGAAATTTTTAGTGTGAAAACTGTAACAAAATATTTTTTACACAATAAATAAAATAAGCGATGTAAATATTTTATTTGCTAAATATTAATTTGTCATAATAATTAATGATAAATGATGTTTGAGATTGTGTTTGATATGAAAAATTATGTTAACTATGATACATAAAAAAAAGTGTAAAGATAAAATAATTTGAAATTATCGTTTCAATCAAGAAATTAAATTTAAAAAATCATCTTTATTAATTAAAATAGTGTACCAATTAACACAAAATCTTATAGTTGTATTTCAATAAAAATTAAGATTCAATTTTGCAAACAATGCAAAATAGAAGTTATAAATTTTGAAAGTAACTCATTTATTTTGAAAATCATAGTTTAGATAAACAAAAAAAAAAAAAAATTGTTTTTAATTACATATAGCATTTTTTCTAACTTTATAACTTATTTTAAAACATAAATAAATAAAAACTTCATTGCTTAAATTTATATTCATAAAATTGACATTTTTGTACATTTTAAAATAAATATAATTAGAAAAAAATATATTTATAAAAATTAAAAATGCGTTTAATAAGTAGGAAACATATTTTAACTAATATAACTAATTATCAAAAGATTAAATAAATAACCATACCTTTCTCTTAAAAGAAATGCAAAATATTTCTTTTAAACAAAAAACAGTTTTCGAAATAAAAAAGGAGATGAATTTCTAATATTCCCCTTCCGCATTTTCTACTTTTCTTGTGAAAATCACGTTAGAAAATAAACTGGGTCACCAGTTTTAAGAAGGAGTGGCTTGTTTACATCTGGAGCTCATTTGTTTACACTAAGACATTGAATATTACTTATTCGTGCATTGTAATTAGGCGGAACAGGTTTTGGAGGAGGAGTTACATCTTTTGACCAATGAGCGAACAGCGCTTCCAGCAATGAAAGTTTTCGTATGGTTGACTGACAGGAGGGCGCCACTGTAGCTGTTCGAGATTTTGAAAAGCCAATAGAATTATTGATGCGTAAGTCTTATTTAAATTAAAATAAGTATTTTTTTTTCTCTAATTTAAATAAATTTCTCATCATTTCAACAAAATATTTTTTTCTATTTTTTATCCAATAATAACTTTTAGCGAAAAAGCTATCCTATTCTATTAAAAAAATTTTCCGTAAACATTTTGTACGAAAAACACGTATTTTATATTTACAATATTTTAAAATAAACACAATACAATACAATATTAAAATTTATATGAAAAAACAATTATCATTATGTTTTCAATGTGCATTATATAATTTTATTATATACTATGTTATATTATAATTTATATATATATATATATATATTTTACTTTTTTCTATAAACTAAAAATTAATTTTGTATCTCTTTAAAATTTTATTATTTCACACGTTAATTGTATAAGTTCCACTTCATGCCGTATTTTAATTATTGTTTACAAAGATTTCTAAAATATTTATTTGAAATATCTATCATTTTTTTTTATTAATTCAGTTACAATTTAATTTTATTTTACCGGTTAAAATAGATTAATTTAAAAATCTAAATGTTTGAATAGTATAGGCATTAAAAAATTGTTGAAAAAAGAAATTTGGCATTTTAGAAATTTAATTTATAAGTTAATTTTAAAATTTACAACTATTTAGAACTTTATTTTTTAAACGTAGAACTGCATTTACAAATATTTGTATAATTTTATTAACTAGTAGAATAAATTGAATATTTTATTTCGTATCATTTCCTTAAAAAGGTTTGAAAGAGCTGTTTCAATGGTTTAAATAAGCGTTTTTTACGAATATTTCAAAAAATTTCCAACATCTTTTAAGGATTTGGAGAACGAATAAAAATATTTTCAGTCTTTCAAAATGACACTTTTCAACATTCAGTTTTTAAAGTTTGTTACTAAGAATCATATAAATACTTATTTATGACATATTTTTCAAAAGTAAAACTAGGTTAATTTTTATCACATCTTTTTTTATAATATTATAAAAAAATATATTTGGAGAATTAATAAGTATATATATTTTGGGTAATGAATGAAAACATTTTTAGTCATATTTCTAAACGACACTTTTTACAACATTCAGTTTTTAAAGTTTATCATTAAGAATCATATAGATATTTATAAAGCTAATATTTATTTTAAATTTTCATCATAATATCGTCTTTAAAAATACTATAAAAAGTCTAAACACTAGTGTTTTTAATAAATAGCTCTTTCACTAACACTAACATAACACATGACATATTTTTACAAAATATAATTTTATATTTTCAATAATAATATAAATATTTGTTTATTTCAAATTGGATTGTTCTAAATTCTAATTTGAATTTCATTTAAATTTCAAATATAAAATCATATATGTACTATATATATTATCAGATGTATACTTTAATCAAGCACATTTATTATTTTATAATCAATGGTCAATAACTAATTAAAGGTTGATAAAAGATTAATATTATTAATCATAATTACGAAATCGAATTTTCTTTGCATTTTTTGGTAGAAAATGATTATTTTATGCTAGCATGCAAAAAAAGATACCAAGCCATATGTTCTGATAGCCATTAAATTTTATAGGTAGTTTCATTTTTGTTTATGTTTCCTCAATACGGCATGTCAGGTTGACATGAATTACAATCGATTTTATCAGATGAAAAACATAATACATCATGTCATCGCATCGTAAAGGCAGATTAAAAATACATCTTTCATTCAATTTGTTGGAAATTTGCCTTGATTTATGGAAGGAATTGAAGTATTCCTCAATAAATAATTGATTTCGAATATCGCATAAAATTACATCGTCATTAATCATATTATGAAGATACAATGATACTAATTATACAAGATATATTTCAAATAAATTAGAATACTAATCAGTAATGAATTAATTGCTACTAATCAGTAAGAGCACTAATCAGTATTGAATTAAATTGCTTTTAATCAGTAAGAACAATCAGTATTGATTTAAATTTCTACTAATCAGTAAGAACACTAATCAATATTGAATTGAATTTATGCTAATCAGTAAATTAATCATATTCGTTACTAATCAGTATTGAATTAAATAAATGAACATATAAAAAAATGGAATACTGGTAATATTTTTGCGATTCATCAATAAAGAATTAATCATTGATACAAAATTTAAAACATTTAAATGCATCAGCGTTTTAATTAGATTTATAAGAATTCTTTGTACGT